AATGTTGCAAAACTGATTTGGTATGACATGATTGCATGGCAAACACAATCGACAGACTCTAACATGAAAATCATGACATTAGTGTCATGTAACAACATGACTACATGCCACGCTCATGATGCGCTCGCGGCCGTTTTGCTAGCGTCAGTTATACCAAATTTGGTATTACGGTACGTGAATGCATTACGGAGGTATGTGACTGGTGCAAACAAGATAAAGAGATTCGTGTCATGTAGAGATTCGTGTCATAATGAGATTCGTGTCATGTAACAACATGGCTACATGTGACGCCTATGATGCGCTGGCTATATTTGCGCGCGCCTATGATTTCGCCTATGAATGCGCGCGCCTATGACATGCGCGCCTATGATTTCGCTAGCTTCACTTACACCAAATTAGGTATTAAGCGACGTGAATGTATGAAGAAGGCATAAAACTGATGCAAACATGATAAACTTGAGATGCGTGTCATGTAACAACATGACTGCATGCTACGCTCATGATGCCCTCGCGGCCGTTTCGCTAGCTTCATATGTACCAAACTCGGTATTACGCTAAGCGAAATGACGAAATAGGTAAATAACACATCTAAACATGATTATCATGATATGCGTGTCATGTAACTTGACTTCATGCCACAGTGATGATGCGATCGCGGCTGTTTTTCTAGCTTCACAATTGCCAAATTTGGTATTACGTGACGGCAATGGATGATGAAGGTATGTGACTGGTGCATACATGATAATTATGATATGCGTGGGATGTGAGAACATGACACGTCACAGTCAAGGCACCAATACGTTATCACACGACGCGGTGCGCGTGCTCGCCGGCGTTCATTTCGTCGCGTCACACCGGCGTTGCCACGCTGGGCACTGGTGCTGCCATATACTCGCAGGCACGGGCCACGCTGCGTTGCTTTGATGCATGCACGGTTCAGCGCGTCCGGCGTCCCTCCGTCGCGAAAAGAGGGAGACACCGTGTTGTCTGGGTAACGCATCGGCGTGAAATACAGCATGTTGCATTTCTTGCCGGTTGCCGTCGGGCCTCGCCGGTGGACGCTAGTCGTGCCTGGCGTCAGGCTATAGAGTTCTCGCGTTTTGCTAACGTAGCGTTGCTGTGTCCAGCTCGCGCGCCCGCCTACGCTAAATTGGACAATAGTGGGCTCTTCATGATGCTTTCGTGGCCGTTTTGCTAGCTCCACATATACCGAATGTGGTGTTACGTGACGTCCATGGATGACAAAATATATGACTGGCACAAGCATGATAATCCTGACAAGCGTACCATGTAAGAACATGACAACATACGACACTCATAGCGTGCTCGCGGCTGTTTCGCTAGCTCCGCATATACTAAATTTAGTATCATGTGACGGGAATAGAGGATGAAGGTAAACGACATGCAAACATGATGAGCAAGACAGGGAAGTCATGTGTGGCATCATTTACCTCCACTTTGTAACGTTGTGCTGATTTGAAACTGACGTATCAACATTTCTAATTCGTGCTTTGCATATCATCAATTCCCATTGTACATGGGACCTGTCAATTTTTTACAGTAAAGGCGGAAGCTTTACAAGACTCCTCAGACGTGAAAATTTACTGACTTCGTCCCGCACCGGAGGCGTCAACATGCGACGCAATAAGTTATATTCTCGTGTTCGTGACGCATTGATATCGAAAATGAGCTTTCCACGCTTTCACAGTTTCGTAAAGCATTGTGGTGCAACTGCTTTTGCACCGTAACTTTAGCAAACATTCACTGGTAGTGCTCAACTCTCTGTTGCATATAATGTGTGCTTAGACTTCTTCAAGCTGTGAGGAGCTGCATGTAGCTCCACATTTTCTACACTTTTGGTCATTCAGTGCATGTATAAACGAAAACGGTGAGCATTTAACTTATCGGAGGGTCTGTATTACCTACTGGCATGGAATGAAGAAGAGGCGGCTGGTATACTTGCCTTCATTGTATGAGTAATTATTGATTGCAGCTATGCCAAAAGGGCTCATGCAAAGTCTGATGCAGTCTCAATAGTCTCCATCTCGCTGACGGATCCCGTGGACGCTGGGTAGGTGGGTGTGATCTGCTTCTTTTCGCATTAGAGAAATACGCCGTGAAGCTGTGGAAAATTCTCGGCACAGTGTTGTCAAAAGTTGCGGAACGTCGAGTGGTGGCTTGACAACAACGGCTACGATTAGCCACTGGTCCACGCGAACGGTGTCGTTCTCATCGAAGTGCTTTTCGCGAACGTGCAAATTCGGGGAAAGAAATATGAAATCATCAGTTTCCTGTCGCAGCATTGCACTTTTCCGCCGATCACTGAGAACTCGGAGACTTTTTTTGTCATTTCTTTTGTAACCAGATCGACAACCAGGTTCCCGGCAGGTGTGCGGTATCTTTCGCTATCTTCAGGCTTAGCACACTTGGCACAATAGTAATCATACGGTAAAAAAAAAAAAAAAACTACGCGATGGGAAGCCACAATATTATGCATTGACTCCATAACGGCACCAGCAGCCGGCTTCCTTCCGGTCTGCCCGGTGCCCCACGCAAAGATGCAGTGCCGCCCCGCGACCTCCGCTCGCAGCGCCCAAAGCTCTCCCATGGATTTACGGCGAAGCTTTATAATCAGTAAATGTATTGAAGGACTCTGGTACTACATTCATTGTAATACAGAAGAGCAGGAGCCTGTAGGCCCTAGTGAACACTGTCACGTTAGTACAGCTGCTTCCTACATCAAACACTACCAGTGTTGCAAATTTAGCTAATTCGTAGCTATATATAGCGATTTTCGGACTTGACTAGCTACTCGAAATTTGATTTAGCCACGAGCTTGAGCTTATTATTCGGGATTTGGCTTTTAATGAAGCTATTTTAGCTAACCCTAGCTGCAGTTTTATGGCATTTTCGGGAAATAGTAGTACAGACGGTTTATTTCGGAAAAGCACAGGCACGAAAAAAGTGCCCTTTCTATCAACAGAATCCCACCGATGGAAAGGATGGCCTTTTGTCCGCTTTGTTTCCACAAAATTTGCATGAAAATATCATGGCACACACACACGAAAGAGACAAGATGATGCGCATTTGTGAAGTGATGGGGTCCAGAAATCGGCACAGCGGTATCATCAAGTATTTACATGCACCGGCAGCACCGCAAGCTTGAAGACCTTTTACCACCACAGCTTCATACTTGTACTTCCCTTTTACGCATTTTCAGGGTGGGTCCTTCTGCATTTCTTCAACATTATGGTAGTGCGTGTCCTAATTTTTTGTGTGCTGTATATATCGCATATATTCAATGTTTCAGATTGGTCCCCAGTAAGAGGTGTAAGGTAAATATTATTTAACTAATGAACGATATGAATCTCATGAAGATGGCAGGGGATTGAAGGCGAATTCGTTTCTTTGACATAGGTGCTTAAATAAAAAAAAATCGTAGACGTGGTGATGAGCAGAGTTTTGATATTGACGTAAAAGCTTCAGCTTTTGTTGCTTCACCTACATTTATCTCGCATGCCCTTTGACTTACAGGTATCTTCGTAATTCTCTAATTAAAACTTTTGGAATTCTTAGCTTTTTTTTAAAGATGGGACACGACAGCAAAATCCTGTCTCTAGGGCGTACTTCAACCACTGAGAACATGTATGATGTTACTCGATAAGTTTAAATTCTAGATTACTACAATGTAATTGAGTTGAATTATCAAGCTGAAAGCGGGTTGTGTCCGTGAAGCTTTCGCGTATGAATGCATTCTGTGTATAGCATGCTTTAAACAACGACCAATCATGCACGTGGAATCTTTTCGACCTTACTATATGCACCCGCTATGTGGTCCTAAAGAAATACGGGCCAGTAACAAGTGAACCTTTTCTAATGCGTTACCGGCTTCAAACCTCACGATCGTTTTAATAATCATTTGTTCTGGCGCCCGATGGCAATTCATGCTTGTACCACGCATTATTACTGTGATATAATGCGCATTTTATCGTAAAGCCTGTGTGAAACCCGAAGGCTTCGTTCATAGATAACTAGATTTCAACGACAAATACGCCTGGAGAGATCGAGTAGTGCGTCTCAGCGCCGTCGTTCGTTCCAGCGAAATGAGAACCAAGCTCCTTGTGCCACGCACCATCCCTCATTTCTCTTCTTCTATCGCTGTATGTTCACTGTTTTTAACAGCCTCCATACAGAAAGCGTGTGTTGGTAAAGTATGAAGGCAATTTTCACTGCATATCGAAGCAGAGGAAGTTATTTACCAAGCGAACACGTGGCTTTGCAGCAGAACACCTGCTTGCCTCACAAACGTCCCAGGTTCAAGCCACACTATGACCCGGACCTCTTTATTTTGTTTCCTTCTTTCTCAATTTTTTGCTCACGCACAAGATGATTTTTCGCTCACAATCAACCCCGTCTACATTGACGCCGCTAGCATTTATGTGAGACGAGCTCGTTTAACGCTATCGCTTCAAGAGAACAAAAATGCTATTTTGCTTCTCCAACGAGTTCCCATTGGGGTTTTCTTCTCAGTGGTCGTTATAAAAGTAATAAAAAATATATTCGGTTGTGGAAGTATGAGCTATTCGATTTCTTATTTAAAATTTTTGAATATTCGCCCACCTCTAATGTTTCCTGAGCGCTGTGCATATGCAGCTCACTTTTGACGAGCTGGAAAGCCTGTATGCTTTTCTAAAAAACCACAATTGCCCTAAATTATTTGAATCAAAAACGAGAAAGTTTTTATTTTCATTCATTTACGTGTTCTGCGTAGTTGCATGCAAGAAAACATCACTTGATAGTTCTATTTAAACTGTAAGGTAACGCAGCTGTCAGTAAACTCATTGCTCGCGAAGATTACGTCTAAAAAGGCAAGAAAAATAAGTTAGCTCTTTTTTGGCTTCTTTATAGGCTTCTTAGCTAGTATTTTCTACGCTGCCATCTAGCTATCCTTACGCTCCGACATTTTACAACACTGCACACGACAGTTGCATTGGACTCACCTTACTCTCATTCTTCCAAAAGTATATGTAGTGGTGGAATGTGGGATATGTCTCTGTTTTTTCTTTGGATGTCCAACAAATGAGATCATCTTTCATTGCTCCGTTGACACCCGCAAATAAGACTAGACGTTCTGAGCCGTTCAACATCTGCACTTAGAAAAAAAAGAGAAAATAAGCCGCTGCCGCATAAGCTAAATATGCATGAAGGCACAAATTTATGCCTACAAATTGTGTTATGAGCCGAGTCGGCAATGTGATTTTACATATAATTACGAATAATACCTATTTTTTTCAAAAGCCTGCCTGTAGGCCCCAAACACTCACGAGTCATTTTATGGAAAAAGTAAGGACATGCGAAATTTGGTGAATTCCTGGCGTACTTTTTCTTTACAATATCTCAATATTGTCTTTATCTACACTTTTTTTTTTTCAATTTTCAAGTCACGGACAACACTCATTTATCGCTCACAACCGACGACGCTGATGCCAACGCCGATACATTTTTCACTGTCGCATTGCGCAATGCTCCCTTCTGTTTCCGTCCATCATGCCGGGATGTGAACTTTTATCCACGTGGTATGAGTTTTACATTGCAGCTGATACAAATGTTAGTGATTTTCATGCATTGATAGTTTGATACCCTGGCAGCAAACAAATATGGCTGTATAAACCACAAGTCTTCTGAGTAACCATGATAAAAGGTCAGATTACCGTATCAGAAATAGCACATTGTCTGTCGCCAAGACCTTAATTCACAAATGATGGATTTGTGGGGTTTAACGTCCCCAAAACCACAATATGAATATGAGAGACGCCTTAGTGAATGGGCTTCGGAAAATTCGACCACCTGGGGTTCTTTAACGTGCACCCAAATCTCAGCACGCGGGCCTACAACATTACTGCCTCCATCGGAAATGCAGCCGCCGGAGCCGGGATTTGATCCCACAACCCGCGGGTCAGCAGCTGAGTATCTTATCCACTAGACCACCGCGGCTGGGGCCTTAATCGACAAAGCATGATTGAAAAACGACGCATGCAAATATTGTGACCGGCGCAGCTCAAGGACATCATTTGCCTAGACATGCAAACACATTCTGTACGCTCACAGGAATCGGGTTTTCCTGCGAAGACACCTACAACGCCGATCAACCCTTCCAAGAAATTTGTATGGATTTACTTCTAGCTTCATGTTACAAACTGGTGAATGTCAATTTCCTATTCATAATACCAGGCGCGTTTGAAAATATTAACGGTATACGAACAGCTTGTTTCGCCTAGACATTTCAACTGGTAACAATATAGTAATCGCAATATATCTTGAGACCTAGGTCGAGAAGAGATTCTAGGCAAAGGCTCATCAAACAACGGCAGCTAGACCGATCTTCCTAAAGGCATCAGACAATTCAAAATGTTTTCATATTGACTATTAAATGGAAGGAACATTCAGTATGGGTTTACGATTTTCACGTCCTAGAATTATAACTGATCACATCAATGCCAAGGTGGCGGGAAGACATTCCCACCTATCACAGGGATCTTGCAGGACTCCCCCGGGTGACAAACCAGGACCGCCAGGCGTTTATCAATACTGCGCTTTACTTTCCTAGTATAAACGATTTGCAGCAGAGTCTACTGTAGGCCTAATAAGATTTATTTTTATATCGATTGTTTATACCCCATGCCTAGACTTATTGAGGTGACTGAAAAAAGTGGTAAAGACTTAGGCAAGCACAGAGACAAACGCTAGCGACCTGGTCCACTGGTAACATCATGACTCCCCGCATTTTATAACTTGGGTTATCGGGTCGTTTGTGACAACACATTAGTCGTACGAAAGTTATCGCATTAATTTAACGAGTCGTCAAGTACTCGGCTGTTGAACAATTAGTGGCTGCAGAGATAGGAATGAACCAAAAAATGCATCATGACAGTTCGCATACTATACCCGGTTTTCTGCTTATGTGGTGCATGCAATAAATTGTTTTTGCTATGTGAACATGCTGCTAAAAAGTATTGTGGCCGTCAATTTGTTATTGTCACAATTTTTATGGTGAGACTAACCTTCTGTAGCAAATGCACTAGGAGAATTCTGGTCATTTACTCCAAGATTCGCTTTTTCTAATGTAGGTTGCTATGGTTCCACGGTGAAGAATAACTGGTGATGCTGGAGTCTAGTGTATACCCGAAGCCTATTTTTCATTAAAAATAAAAAAGGCCAGGCCTGCACGTAAAGCACAGCATAGTCACATTGAAAGGTTGAAGGGCAGCACTTCTAGAAAACGTTGTAAGGATGACTAATAAAGTGCGCTTGCAAAATGCCTACTAAGCCATAGATAATAACTTTTGTAAACTTAGGAAGCATACACAACCCCACTATTCTTCTATATGCGGACAAGTGAGGTACCCGCTACGCATTCGCATGACATGTACTTTGTTCATGCGGTGGCTGACGATGACGAAGAACCTTACCTGAGCCCTTTGTAATGTTAGAAGCATTCAACGGCTAACTCTTTACTCAATTAGTGTTGTGTGATTCCTGGCTGGTATTTCCCTATTTTACCACGCTGTACTGTACATGCTAATGCGATTCCTTCATGACACAACATCTGTCTAGGGTCTTTTTTGTTACGGAGTTACGAGCAGATCTATGGCTCTTTGGTACAACGCTGAGTTGCCACAGAGAGGACCATGGTTCGAACCCCATTCCGCTTTGTATAGGATGAAGATGATGATTGCATGTATGTGTAGCTCACATCTATTATGGCGGATATTTTCTAATTTCCTTTACCTTTCTTATTTTTAGCCATAGCATTTACGGACATCCACAGTGGAGGTGGCAGTGGCGGAAAACTACGGCATTATCAGTTGTAGAGAATTTCAATGTTGAAGATCAAAAGCTGCCTCTTGAGAAAACGCTTTGAGAAACCGAAAATACAGCTGCTTTGAGAAACCAAAAATATAGGGAGTCAGACATTATACATTTACTCAATGCATTCCCTCAAGTAGCTATAGCTATAAAGATTTAAAAGGGTGCTCTTCCGATTATTTGATACTGTAGGTTCCCCAAGATCAGTCAGTCGTAATGAAGTTTTTAAGCAAACGTTAATGAGATCTAACAGACAATCATGCCATGGAGATCTTATTAGAAGTAATTGTGATGTGAACGTGAAGAAAGAAAAGTGAACGAAAAGATAATTTGCTGTTAGCAAGAACTGTACTTGCGACCTTAGAAGAATTCGTTCGATGCTCTGCCAACTGAGCTACCACGGCGGCTATCCCTCCGTCAACTTTACGGGGTATATATGTGCACTTAGCGTCTAAACGTCAGTTAGCGCCGCCTGTAGCCATGACGGCGAGTTTGGAACACTGTTGATCAGCCTGTTTGGCATCACGCAGCACTAGAACTTATTATGAGAGGCGAGCTGACAAATAATCCTCGGTATACTACCTCAAAGCACCAAGTCTGCCAGAACGAAATCCTCGCTATAAATGAAAAAAATAAGTGTACATCTAAGGGCTCGTTTTCTTTGTTGGACAATATAAGGAGATCTAACAGGCAATTATAAAAAGAAAAGTATACGGCATGTTATTAGAAGTATTTGTAACGTAAGTGTACAACATGCCTTATACTTTCCATGACATAATTTCTAGCTAGATCTCATCATTATTATTGCCTAACACCTATGTAAATTTCTGTCCTTCATCCGTAAGGGAGGGTTTTGTTATGGTAGACTTGGTGATGTCACGTAGTATACGAAATATTATTCGTCAGCTGCCCGCTCGTAAAAAGGATTAGGATATTATTATAAGTTTCCGTGCTTCGTGACGCCAAACAGACTGATGCACAATGTTCCACACTCGCCGTCATGGCTACGGGCAGCGCTGACTGACGCTCCTACATTTAATGCACATATATACCCCATGACGTCCATGGAGGGACAACCGCTGTGTAGCTCAGTTTGTAGAGCATCGGACGCGTTATTAGAAGGTCGCATGTTCGGTCTAGGTCAACGGGAAGTAAATTTTCGCAAACTTTTATTTGTGCACACCTATATTAAAATAACTTCTAATAACATACCCTATAATTTCTTTAATATGACGACCTGTTATATGTCATTAATAATGTCTAACGAAGAAAACAAACCCTTAGATGTACATTTCATTTTTTTCATAGAAGTGATTTAGAAAATTGATCGCGCAGACACAACATTATTATATACGGTCTGAAAGAATGGGCAAATGAAAAAGACGATTGTTCATAAGTCACCATGAAGATGTTTTTCTCGGGCACAATTAAGGTTGAATTTTCGCACATGAAACGGTTTCACAGGATCGGTACGTACCATGGTAGTAAACCCTACCCCATCATTCTTATGCTTCTTCCGTGGAAAGATCGCCCCGCCGCGGTGGTCTAGTGGCTAAGGTACTCGGCTGCTGACCCGCAGGGTGCGGGTTCGAATCCCGGCTGCGGCGGCTGCATTTCCGATGGAGGCGGAAATGTTGTAGGCCCGTGTGCTCAGATTTGGGTGCACGTTAAAGAACCCCAGGTGGTCAAAATTTCCGGAGCCCTCCACTACGGCGTCTCTCATAATCATATCGTGGTTTTGGGACGTTAAACCCCACAAATCAATCAATCAATCCGTGGAAAGATCAAGGTGTCGACGAATGGCTTCAAGCTGAAGGGTTCCATAAGCAGATAACTGAGTACTTCTTTGACCATGTACGGATTATTCATAAAAAATTATGGGACGCCACTGCATCCTTTATGAACAACGGTTTCACTGCACACTCAAGGTATGACCTTATATATGTTGATAGTGAATGGTGTGAGGAGAATTGTATTTCTAATTAGCTACTAAAGTCTTCAAAATAGTCTATTAAGCACTCTACTCATTAATCTAACCGTACGTAATGAGCACATCATCATGCACAAGATACCATCTGGTTACTGAATATTAATACCCGAAGTCTCAATAATAAAGTTTCATAGAACAGGCGCTCCCATCCTTTTTTCCTCGACGATGTGAAAAAAAAACCTCGCAAACTTTCACAGTATACCTTCATCCGCCTTATTGATTTTTTATTACGAAGATTCCGCGCTCTTATTCTCGCTCCTTGTCATGCCATGCTACATGCCTAACGCCTTA